ATAGACAGATAATAGCAGTGGCAGCGACAGCAGCAGCGATGACTGCAACTTCATCTTTGGCACAGCTCAGCTGCAACTTCAACTTTGGCACAGATACCACCACACCATAATTTGACACAATAAAATTGTAGGGCATCTCTGCCTTCATACTTCAGGACAAATTATAAACCAGCAGAACAGGATTGAAACTTTCCCCATAGGCGTGGTATTGCCTACTTGAGGGTTTTAAACCTTATTCTGAAGCATCTGGTACTGGTCAGAAACGGAATTAAATGGACCATTCATCTAATCCTGTATGACAACTCCTGCTGTATGCTCCTGTGACTGAATGCCTGTTCAATACATTTTGTTAAAAACTGTTTCACATGCAGTGTTGTTCTAGGTGAGCTAAGGCAAGAACCGAAATGTGTTTCAATCATACCACTTAGCTCTTGTCGACTTGCTCGTGTGCTATCAAGCTGAGACCAAAGCTGTTTGATTTCTTCTTGTGATCGAGTTTTTAATTCTTCATATGTGGCCTGAAGTTTCTCCATCTACGAAAGATGCATTAAGAATTATATATTTTTTTAGTTTTAATAGCTGCCTATTTTCATGTCTTAGAAACAGCTAAGCTACTAATGGGTGGAAATGCTATAGTACCATCCAGACCCTGGGTTCACAGAAGAGGCTGGTGGAGACACTGAAACACCTAACTCCTCTATGAACCTCCCTCTAATTGAAACAAATGAGGGAGCCATCCGCTTATGTCACAACTGGTGAGACTATGAATGTGGTGAACAAAATAACTGAGAAAAATATAGGAATCAGGAACTGAAACTATATTAAATAAGAACTATGGTAAAGATTTGATTAAATCGCAGGATAGGCCACATCAGGAGACCTAGCAATGTGTTATATAAAGTTAAGTCCAGCTAAAAAACTATGAATACTATTCTAATATTGATTTGTGTTTCATGCTCTTAATTTTGATATAAAAAACAACAAAAAACATACATCATGCTACATATCCCCTTAAAAAAAAATCTAAATGTTAAATACAGAAGAGTGGCCCACATTATTTAATAACACTTGTGGCTCCTAAATACTATGCCACTTACCTAATTCATACCAAACATTCAAAACAAAAAATCTTATTAACCTCCTGCTGCATCTCCTGTTCTCTTTCCTTGCTTTTCCTTTTCAAGTTTTCTAGACCTTGGTCATGTTCCGTCTGCAGCTGTTCACGTAGTTTTGTAATTGCCATCTGGTGTTCATTCTCCAGGTTTTTACATTTCACTACAGAACAAAGTTAGTGCTATTACATTACTAGATTAGACTTTTTTTTCTTGTGAACTACCTAATGCAACATCAGTTTTGTGACTAATTAAAGCACAAAATTATGAATCCAGGCCAATAAGCTAATAGGCTAGCTAACTGTAAGTTTAAGGCATTTTCTATCTAGGTTAATAACTGACAGGGCCATTACAACCTTGTGAAAGGCACCAACTGGCTAGCTCAGCACAGGCACTTATACCACAGTAATGAGCATGCTAAGAACTGTAACAGTAAAGAAATGCAGAAGGTGGAAACTTGGAATTTCCACACAGAGCCTTATGGTCCACTGTATGAAATGCCATCAGCAGGTGGTGTGGTCCTGAGGGAGGACACCAGAGGCGGCTACCTGAAGACAAAACATGTAAGAGACAATGCCATAATAAACAGCAGCAGCCTTAAATGCACAGGGAACACGTTTCTGCAGAGAACCTCCCATTCACAATGTTGCTGGCAGCCAGGACTGGAAGGGCAAGGAGACATAGTTGGCCATGGGACTGGAAAACACTTCTGCTACCAGCACAAACAGTTGCAGAAGAAGGAAGGCAGACAAGGACAGATAAGGGCAGATGCACTCACCTCAAACAGATAGGAGCACTTGGAAGATTCATGGCAGCTGGAGTCAATCCCACCACATAAGTGAGCTCTCCCTAAGCAAAATGGACCTGCCACCTGCTTCTCCACAACAGACCTTTGCTCTGCCACAGAGAGGGAACCCTGCCTGCAAGTCACTCCCACCCAGCCACAATGCAGTGACAGAAATGATTCTGTCACATACAGATAGCTGGACTGTGCACTCTGGGGGAACAAGTAAAAATCAACAGGAGACTGGGGAGGAAGAGACTCATAGGTAGGTTCCTTCACAGCAGCCAGAGAACTGCTAGCAGGATAGCAAAAGCATCCAATGTTATGCATGGGTAACAGGATGGAGCTTATATCTCAAGGCTGGTTTTGCTGCATTCCAGCTGGCACAAAGTTCCCCAGTGCCAGGTACCCTGAAGCCAGCTTTCCATTTATTTGAAATAGTTGCCATTTCCCCTGGCTCTCACCTACGAGGTACCTCAGAGGACTTATGGCTCCTAAACCAACTGGCCAGCTCTGCCCCCTTCACTTCCAGCTATGCCTCTTGTGGATAGAATTCTCCAAAGGCAAGGGCTTCAGGAGCCCGTCACACTCACGTTTCAGACTCCTAAAAGCAGCAAAATTTTCCACACGTGGTCATTTATTCATCCTGGCCCTCACTTTTCTGAGTAGTGAGGCTTTCAGTTACTCTGCTGAAGGTAACTTTTGAGACAATTATTTTAAAGAATTGCCAAAATCTATCATACGTCCATATTGTTAAGATCCAAACAGGAGTCTGGCTGTTCACAATACCATCTGGAAATCTTTAAATCGGGCAAAACACTCACTGAAATTAATGGAAGTTTTGCCTAAGTAAGACACTCAGAGACTATAATAGACTTTAATGTCAGAAGGAACCATCATGATCATCTAGTCCAGGAGTTCTCAAACATCCTTGCAACCCCCTTCTGACAACAAAAATTACTATACGACCCCAAGAGAGTGGACCACAGCCTGAGCCCCACCACCCTGGGCAGGGGGACCAAAGCCGAAGCCTGAGCCCAAGGGCTTCAGCCCCAGGCAGGGGGTCTGTAACCTGAGCCCTGCCACCCAGAGCTGAAGCTCTCGGGCTTCAGCTTCAGCCCCCAGTAGTGGGGCTTGGGATTCAGCTTTGCCCCCAAGCCATAGCAAGTCTAAGCAAGATCTCATTAAAATGGGATCACAACCCACAGTTTGAGAACTGCTGATCTAGTCTGACCTGTTGCACCTCGCAGGCCATAGAGCCTCAACCACCCACTCTTGTAATAGACCCATAATCTCTGGCTGAATTTCTGAAGTCCTGAAATTTTGATGCAAGGACTTCTAACTACAGAGAATCCGCAATTTACTCTAATTCAAAAGCACAAATGACTCATGCCCCATGCTGAAGGATTCGGCCCTCAATTGACAGCAAAATTGTAGCTTACAGTCTTGTTGTAGCTATGTTAGTCCCAGGATGAGAGAGACACAATGTGGGTGAGATAATATCTTTTATTAGACCAACTTCTGTAAATTGTAGGCACTTTTTTATATTTGTGGGGAAAATGCATTCTGGGTTTTCACCTTAAGTTTGCTACAATTACAACTACACACTAGCCAATGTGGCTTATATATTTAAGATGTAATCACTTTGTAACTCTAATTTCTGAACAATTACAGGTCATTGGCATGGTTCTAACTGCAAATGTTAAAATTGAACATTATTGCTGTTTTATATGCACTGTACAACTCCTAAAGTTACTCTAGCCAGCTTTAATCCCTCACAATAAATATCTTGCAACAAAGCTAATGCTTTCCAAAGCGTAACACTTACTTTCCACCTGCTCTTTTTTAACAGACAGACTCTTCAGCTCCTCTTTAACTCTGTCTAGTTCCAATTTCAGAGTTTTCTGCAGTTCACCCATTTCAATCTGATGTTTTTCAGATAGCTCCTCACGGATGTTTTTTAAACGTGTTTCGGTCTTCAGTGCCCAGTCTCCTTTAAGAGTCTAACAGAACAAGATAGGTGCATTAGTAAAGCAGTTAAGAGTAATTTTTTTCTGCTTCTTTTTATTTTATATCACATTTATTTGCCCTTTCAAAAATTTATAGTAGAAAAGGGAAGAGATCATGGCAGCTTTGATTTATAGTACAGTTTCATCTTGTCCAGTATACAGTATGGAACTTATACCTCCAGGGTCTGGATGTGTTTCTTTTCCATTTCCAATTCTATTTTCTTCCTCTCATCTGCAAAATAAAATTCTGTTTACTAAACAAACTAGTAAGAAACATTGGGGTCTAATGACATTTTAAAATACAGAAAGACCTACTTTATTTTAAACATCACATTCAAGGCATGAATTAGGAGGTACATAGCAGTATGATGTACCACCATCTCTCTCAAAACTGCTCTCTTATATGCCAGAGTGTCAGCTCTTATTTTATAGGAATAAGTGTCTAGCTTGTTTCAGTTGCAAAGAAAAACATGGAGATGTAAATTTAGCACAACTGGTCCAGCACTGTTTGCCCAAGTCTGCAGAGAGCATGACACCATTAGAGAGGTGTAAACTGCCCCATTCATTTCAGTAGTGTTAACTTAGATGCCCAATAATAACATTTCAGATGCCAACATTGCTAACTACTTCACTGTGCAAAGAATGCAAGAAAGAAGAGGGAGAATCATATTGCAAAAATCTGCACAAATTTACTGAAAGTGGAATCTTATTTAACCATGGGGGGAGGAGGGGGTAGGAATCCCATTTCCCTTCATCAAAAAGGAGCCAGAGTGCAGCAGTGCATCTGAGCTGCTCCAAAGGAGCTCAGCGGAGCACACAGATATATGAAAACTTCATTTGGGGGGAGGGGACAGCCCAAGGAGTTCAAAGAACAATCATGATCACACTTTGAATGTCTGCATGATGCACGCAAGGGGCATACTGAGGTTTCAAGTGGATGGGGCTTATTTTGTCAGCAGAACTTGGGAGAGAACACTTACTGTCCCCCCTCAATTCTACCCCTGATCAAAATAATATTTCAAGCTGCAACTCACATGTCCTACGCCTATGTGACCAAAAAACAAGCATTGTGTGTGGAAGGAAAGTGGAAATAGTCTTCACCTTCCTTTTACTATCTAGCAGCCAGAGCCACTACATAGCTAAAGTTTCCATTACAAATTTGATTTCAACCCTTGCACCTGCCACCTCCCCCTCCGAAATGTACAGTGTGTAAAAACTTGCTGAGAGAGATTTTTTTCTAGCGAATTTGAAGTAAATGTGGAACACGTTATCTAATTTATCACATTATCAATTTTTTAAAATAGACTTGTTCAGAGTCTTAAAAATCTAAAAAAGAGAAAAGTTTACTGAACTCATCTAGTAGAGATCTAGTGCATAGGACCAAAGTTTAATTAATAAAACCTTTTAAAGAGCGATATACATTTTACATATCATTATCAGAATGGGTCAGTGGAAGTTGCAAAGCTAATTTCGGCTCATCAGTAGCTCCAGAGACAGGAACAGAAGCAGAAGACAGCAACTAGTGAGAAGAAGTACCTCACTCTCTGAGTCTCCTACACAGAGCACGATGCTATTGTTTTGGATCACTACCTGAAGGCTGCTTTCCCCCCCCCCCAAGATCTCTATACCCCCTCCCAACCACATCCCATTCCTCAGCTCTTTGCATAGCATCTCTTATGGTCTAAAGGAAAAGAGGGAGAGAAACTGAAGAAAGCAGAGGGCTTGAAGGGAGGATACTGGATGATTTTCCCTTCCCTCCTTCACGCTGGCCTCCTGAAGTCTCCAGCAAGTGAGACCCAACAGCAAACCTGAAGAGGATTGTCAGCCTCCTTCCACCACCACTTTCAGCAGTCTTAGCATCAAAGGCCGAGGAACAATCTTAGACTTGTTAAAGATTAAAAGAGAGAGTCCTAAGGCTCTGAGAGGCTGACCACTAGCCTCATAAGCTTCACATGCGGATGGGAGTCCTAGCAAGCAGCTAAGGCCAAAGGAGGCACTTCTCAGCAGAAGTACCCTAAGACACACTGGAGGTGTGTGTGAGATATGTTATGCAAACTTTTTCTAAAGAAGAAATCAATATTTCACTCTCACTCTGCCCGGTGAAGATGCACTTGTCCTCCAACAAGTCTCATGCATCACCTGTACCCAAAAAACAGTTGAGGACAGGGCAGAGACTTCAACCCTGACACATACTGAAATTCCACAATGCAGAAGTCTCCCTTCACTATAAGCATAAGGGACTGCTTAATAAACTGAGGGAGGAAAGAGAGAGAGAGAGAGAGAAAATCAGCCTCCTCAATATTCTCTGATGGCACCTGTAGGCCTCAGCTGTTTCCACGAATTGAGACAGCTGCCTGTTGGCTCTCAAACAAATTGTCGTTGCAGTTCAAAGAAGGCAATAACTTGCTCAAGGAGTCATCGTCTGTGTCAAGAAGCACCAGAGTGGCATGTAGAAGCACAAAGAGCAAAACCTCAATGCAATTTCAGCAATTCCAACAGTCTAGCTTGATGATGTTGAAACAGTCACGTAGAATGTTTCACCAAACCTATGCCACCAAGGGCAGCACTGATACAGATTTGTAACTCATCTGGGACTCTTGACTCTGGCTCTCCAGCTGAAGCTTTCAGTACCGTCCAGGTAGACGTCTCACTTAATTTCCAGGTATTGGGAGGGAAAGCCAGGAGAATCTTCAGGTACTTGCTCCAAAAACACAACAATGAACCTGGTGCTGACTCAAGGTAAGGCAAAAGCTTATGTGGTACAACTGGTAACAGCAGCTGGCACCAACCAAAGTCTGATCTGGAGCAAAGCATAACAGTTGAAATTCAAAGTTAAAGACACAGATGATCCTAATACTAAGTGTGAGAACACCAAGAGTTTCAGAAATAAATATTGAAGAGGACAGATGACTGAAGAACCAGTTATTTAAAAGTATATTTCTGGCAGAATAAAGGTTGACAAGATGACAAAATGTGATTCAGCAATCTAGGAGGTCATCTTCTCTGAAGATGTTTGGAAAGAAACTGCTGATTGACTGGAGCACCAGTCTACAGGGATGACATAAGAGGATTATGCTAGAACCAATGAGTTTAGAAACCTGAGTCTGGAGAAGGCCTTCAACCTATGATGCAGGGAGGGCTAGCTCAGTGGCTGAGCACTGCCTACTAAACTCAGGGTTGTGAGTTCAATCCTTGAGGGGGCTATTTGGGGCAAAAATCTGTATGGGGATTGGTCCTGCTTTGAGCAGGGGATTGGACTTGATGACCTCCTGAGGTCCCTTCCAACCCTGATATTCTATGATTCTACGAATGGGGAACTATCACAGCTATATCTTTGGAAATCAAGGCTTTATATCCGAGGCAGGCCTAAATCCCTTGAACATATAATGCCTGACCCTGTTCCTACTGCAGTCAATGCCAGTTTTCACAGATTTCAACAGGGACAAGAACAGGCCATAGGACAGACCAAAAAGAGGCTATGTTTACAGTATGGGGCATATAGTGGTCCAGCTACGGGGCTGTAGCTATACTGTCATAGCCCCATAGTGTAGATGCAGAAATGAGGTTTTTGTGTTGCTGTAAGAACACTAACTTCCTAACCGACAGTAGCTGTGTCGCTCATTCTTCAAGTCCACCTGGCTGCATCTACAACAGGGGTTAGGTTGGCCTAGCTATGACGTTCAGGTGTGTGGATTTTTCACATCCCTGAGCATCACAGTAATGCCAACATACATTTTAAATGTAGACCAGGCCTGAGAATCTCCCCATCAGAAATTGTGGGGCAATCAAATGCTCAGCAGTTGCATAATCAGCCCCCTAACTCCCAAGTTGATAATACCTAGTTCCTGTTGATGTTTCAGTGCAATTTCTTCTTTTTCCTTCAGATGTTGTTCATTAATATGTTCCAACTCAAACTGATGTCGGCTTTGTAGAATTGCTACTTCCTGAGCACGCTTATCATTGAGCATCTCCCGTAACTCCACAAGGGCAGTTTCCTTCTCCTTTCTCAAGTTAGACTGCATCAGCTCCAACTGGGATGTGTGCATATTAGTTAGACTTAGTCGTAAACCTTCCAACTCAAGATTGTGCAGTGTCTACAGTGGGAAAGCAAAAAACATGGTTTAAGTGAAATATATTACCATTTTTCTATACCAGTTTCAATTATATACACACACCTCTATATTTATTGCTAGTCTGTTATTTTCATATAAAACATATTCATGGCTGGAAGTGGAATAGCAGAAAAACCAGATTCTAGTTCTCATCTGGCTTGCAGAAGCTTTTTATTAATTATATTATTTACTACTCCTTCCAGTAGTAAAGTCGGTTTGATATTATATCCAAACTGTTTGCCTTTTCTTTCTCTTAAGATTATCTGCTGATAGGGAATGCCTGCCAGCAATCCGCCTCCCTGCAGCATCTTCAGAAAGGTATGAAATGTAAAAAGGAAATTGCAAAAATACACAGTATTATTGTCTATAGCATTGCAGCAAATTTCCACTTTTACCCTTTGAGTCCATCACGGTGCATCATAGCCAGTCACAGCTTTGTCACTGGTATCATTTGATACTATGGTAGAGTGAATAACCAATATCAGAAGTGTTGAGATTGAAACAATGATGTAAATATACATTTCTCTTGTGCTGCTCATTGATTCAGTTCTGACCTATCAGTTAGCAGAAGCAGCAACTAAGCTTTACAATGGATTATAAAGTTTCTATTCTACATATATACAAATACTTATAGCCAATATTTAGGGATTAAACACAAAAGTAATTGTATCCTATGTATTCCTAGAATTAATGGGTGTTTAAAAAAGGATTAAATATTTAGAGAGAAGGGAATTTAGGCCTTCAACCTGCCAAATAACATCAATGAGGCTACTCACATGCGTATAATTATATGTGTGTGTAACAGCTTGCAAGATCAGGGCCTCCACTTGTAAATTCAAGTAACATCATTACAATCTTATCCGATACAGAGTCAATAAATATGTAACCATTAAAAGGTCCATGAACTCTTTAGAGGAATATTTGGAGTAATATTTAATATTTAAATTCAGAGTTTACCTAGTGTAGACTCAATAACAAACTGTAAAAGCCATGAGAAGGGATGTGACACACTGACAAAAATACACTCAGTATACACATTGCAGTAAAGTTGTGTGTGATGGATTACCTTCATGCAATTCATAAGACCTGGCTGAAGCAAGACTAAGTTTCAGAGGTCTAGCAACACTAGAGACTGGGTAAAACATTACCTTGCACTAGAATTTTGTGCAAACCTAACATGCAAAAAAAAAAAATGCATATCTATTGATTAGAACACCAAAAAGGCATATTAGCCTCTTATTCTTTGTCTGCCTCTCTCCATTCCCAGAAGTTACTGGGGATCCTTATTTATATTTATGAAGATAAGCAAGCTTCTTCCCTTCACAAATTTTCTAAATTTTGTCAATTTTCTAAAGAATAAGTGGTAAGATTGAGGACATTGGAGACCCTTCCATAGAAGATGGTATCTGCAGTCCTCTTAGCATAACAATCCCTATTGATTCTTCAAATGTAGTCTTTAGGATAGCACAAGGCATTCCGCCAAAGACTGCTTATTTTGTTAGAAAAACGGCTCCTCTTTGCAAGCGAATTAACTGTAAATTGTGACAGCCAGGAAATTTGCCTAAGTAATTACTGTGCATACATACTGTACCTGTGACTGGAGCTGAGTGTGCTGCATCTCTGTTTTATGTGTACCTTCCATTTGTTGCTGAAGTTCATCCAACAGTTGCTGCTGTTCCTTAATTAGTTCAGCACGTAGCTCTTTCATTTCATCTTCATGTTTAATAATCAGTTCAGTAATTTCACGATCATGTTCTCTTTCATGAACCTGGAGAGAAGAACACTGTGACGCTCTGTACCTCAGGGGAACACCCTACATTCCTCGTGTTCATCTTTATAAAATGATTGTGTGGTATGCAATGCAAAGTTTGTCATGTTGGGTGTCTTCGGAAGGCTCATGATGCACTGAGCATTGTTATTACAGTATTATAGTAATGTTATAGGTTATAATTTCATGTATGTAGTTAGGAGGCTGAAAATGTATCCTCATGGCTCAAAATAAGCCCAGGCAAAAACTCTCTGAGAGCGGAGAGGCACTTCACACCTCATCAGGACAGGTATGGGACAAACCCAGCCCAGCCTCACAGGAACGAAGGACGCAAGCCTAGGCAGCAACAAAAGAATCTGTTAGACTCTGGAGGGAGTCACCTCCCCTTCCTTTGGTGAGTTTGGAACTGCGATGAGGTAATGCTCACCTGACTCGGGGGGGATGGGAGGGGAGCCAAGAGGGAAGAAAGGGTATGATAAAAGGGAAAGACACTTGCCATGGTCTTCCCCTCTCTTCCACCTACATCTACAGACACCAAACCAAGCAACTGAAGCGCTGATCAAAGGGGAGAACGTGGCTGTAGAGCAACCAGCCAGCCTGTGGTGAGAAGCATCTAAGTTTGTAAGGGCACTGAAAGTGTTAAGATTAGCTTAGAATGTGTTTTGCTTTTATTTCATTTGACCAAATCTGACTTGTTATGTTTTGACTTATAATCACTTTAGTTAATAAATTTGTTCGTTTATTCTACCTGAAGCAGTGTGTTTGGTTTGAAGTGTTTCAGAGGCTCCCTTGAGATAACAAACTCAGTACATGTCAATTTCTTTGTTAAATTGATGAACTCATAGAAGCTTGCAGCAACCAGTAGGCATAACTGGACACTGCAAGACGGAGGTTTCTAGGGTTGTGTCTGGGACTGGAAGTATTGGCTAGTGTCATTCAACTGCACAATCCAAGGAGCAGCTTACATGCCAGAGGCTGTCCATGAACAGCCCAGGAGTGGGGGTTCTCACAGCAGAGCAGGGTAAGGCTGGCTCCCAGATTGAAGGACTGGAGTGACCTAGCAGATTACCAGTCCAGATAAAACCAGAGGGGAACGTCACAAATACAGCACAGAATTTTTACTGGATTGTGGACATTTTGCACTTTTGTCCTTCCAGCATTAACAAGCCATTAGGACAGTAGTCTCAAAGTCAACAAAACTATCTTTACTCTTGCAAAAACCCATGTTGATTTTCCGTCTCTGAAGAAATCAGACATGCAGAATCTTTCTAAAATAAGCCTATTACAAAAAAATACCTTTTTAATTAATCCAATCTGTTCTTTTCGTTCCTCCTCCAAGTTCTGCTGTTTTTCCACCTTCTCTTTTATTTCTGCATTTAGCTCTTCTATCTGAAAAGAAGGATGAATTTTTTTGAAATTACCATTTACCAAGCATTCAGAAATACAAATCCTCGTGTCATTATTAGAGCTACCTACCTCTTTCTGGTGTACCAGAGTCATTTTTGCTGTTTCAGAAAGATGATGAGATTCCATTTTACTAATTTCCTCTTCATAATGTCTCCTCATCTCAGACTGTACCTCCTGTATGGCTTGTGCGGACTTCTGCACAGTCTCCTGAAGGTGATTCTCCAGTTCCACCTGAACCTTCTTCAAATAAGCCACTTCCTCAGTCAGTTTGTTTTCTTTTTCAATGTATTCAATTTTTTTTGCCTGTATTTCAATGTTAAGTTTCTGAAGTTCCAAGTTACTGGATTTCAATTTCTCCTCAAATTCTAATCTTTCACACTCCAGTGCTTTTTCAAAGTTTTTCGTTTTCATATTAAGATCATGTATATTTTTTTCAAGATTCTCTTCCAGAGCGTTTTCTGCTTTTATTAGATTCTGCTCTACAGCAGACAATCTTTCTTGTAAGGTTAACATTCTCCCTAAGTGTGAGTGTTAAACTTTGTTCTTTATTATTGATTTCAGCTTTGAGAGCCTCCTGTTCTTTCAGTAATGTCTCTTCTACTATGGTTTTCTGACCAAGAAGTTCAGCCATAGTCTGGTTTTTGGCCTTCTGGGCATCAAGCTGGACTTGCATTTGATCCCTTTGGCTTTGCAAAGCAGCTAGTTGACGTCCAAAAAGGGACTGTACTTCACTCGTTACTGAATCAGAGGCAGTTTTCTGCTCTTGAACTTCTTTTACTAATTGCTCCTGAGCCCTCAATTGCATCATCAATGTTTCTCTTTCCTGCTTGAGGTCTTTTATCATCTCCTGCCAAGTATGCGACTTTGAAGCCTTCATTCCAAACCCTAATCCTTCACTACAAACTGTTTGATCTCTGTCTTCACCCTGCTTTTCCAGAAAGTTTATTTTGTTTTCAAGCTCTTTCTCCTTCTTTACTTTTTGATCAAGTTCTTCTTCACAATGAACCCGTGCTTCTCGCTCCTTATTCAGTTCTAAATGGGTAATGGAAAGTTCAGCTGTTGCTTTTTCCCATTTTTCAAGAGCTTCTTGGGTCTCCTGATAGGATTTGTTCAGTGCTGACTCTTTTTCACTGAGCTGCTTAATTAGCTTAACACATCTCTCCATCAAGCCTGCTTTCTCTTCATCCTTCACCTCCTTACTGTCACTTATTTCATTTTGCACCAAGGAGTCACCTGACAAATATGAAGCAAAAGCCTCAGCGTCCAGCTCGGTTTCATCAGAAGTCCCTTGCAGTACACTGCTAAGACACTTTTGTTCATCAGGGCTAAACATTAACTTATCAGCTGTGGAGTCCATGTTGGGTTCTAAAATGATGTTGCTATCTAGTACAAATTTATCAAGCCTACCCTCTTCAGTGTCAAGAAGTCCAGAGTTGTCGGATATGTATGACTGCTCCTGTCTCTCAGTGGAGACAAGATATTTAGTTAATATGTCTGCATCTTCTATGAAAGATCCTAGTTCTATCATATTTTCTTCAGACATTTTATCAGCTTCATAACTTTTATGGCCCTTCTCTGCTTTGACCTTCTTTAGATTTTTGTGTGTATCTTCTAATTCAGTTTTAAAAGAGTCCACTCGCAAGCCATGTTGGAACTCCAGTTCTTCACGAACTAATTGTATTTCACCTTCATGCTGGCATAATTTACTCTGCATCTTCTCAAGCTCTGCTTTCTGTGATTCTGACACCGCCTGTAACAATTTTTCCTCCTGCTCTAAGTTTTTTAACTTCAAATTGTAGATAGTTATTTCTTCATCATGCTTATGCTTTAAATCTTTGTTATTTTTTGTCTCAAGGAGCAGCTTTTCACTTAATTCCTGGATGAAGGAGTTGAGTTTTTGGATCTCGTCATTCAAATACTCCTTTTCTTGTTTAGATTCCTGTGCTTCCTTAGCCTGTTTTTCCGCATTAGTAAGCTGTAATTTGAGGTCTTCTACCAAATCCTTATACCTCAGCTCAATTTCAGATCTCTCTCTCTGAAAATCCTCCATTTGATTTTTAAGTTGCTTGCACAAGTTGTGTCTATGCATTTCAGACTCATGCAGTTTATTATTTAAATCAATAATTATTGCATTTAAATTCTGAAAATCTTCATCAGAATTCAAAGCAGAGAGTTCTCTTTTTAACTGCTCAAGTTCATTCTTATATTTTTTATTCATCTCTTCTTCACAAACCTCCTTAACTCTTACTATCTCTTTTCTGTGAGACTCTTCCAACTGTCTACAAATATCCCTTTTGTGGTTTGTTTTCAATTCTTCAATACATTCCTGTTCTTTCATCTTGGCTGAAGCAATTTCATTTTTTAACTGCATTATCTCGGTGTCCCGGAGAGAAAGAGTGTGTTGTAGAAGAGATAAATTAGACCTTTCTGATGTCACTATATCTTGAAGACCTTTAATGATTTCTTCTTTTTCTCCTATATTGTTGTACATCTGTTGCATTGTATTACTCAGATTCTCTTCCTTCTGTGCAAGCATACTTTCTTTATCTTTCGTATTCTTAAAAATAAAATATTACACATGAACTAAACACCCAGCTATTTCAATTTCTCTGAAATTTTCAATTTAATATCCCTCCCCCCCAAAAAATTTCCCTTAACTGGAGGGCTTGCTGATTTGTCTATGCCACGGAGAAAGCTTGCCCATGAGAGTGGGAGGACTTACACCGCTGATTTATGGTGTGTTTAAAGGAAATGTGTCCACTTTTAAACTATATTTTAAAATCACAATTCCACAGCATTAAGATGAATGCATATTAGTGACTGGTTCCACAGTACACTAACTTTTAAAAACTGAATTTTTTTTCTCATAATGTCACTACAGGCAAGTGTGAACATTGCACAGGTGTTTTAATTGTGCATCATCATATCTCATCATATTTGGGTTTCTTGTAAGTATGACCTCAGCTGAATTTCTTAGTTTAGAATTCTTGTTTTGGAGGTATTTACAACATTCTTGTAATTCCCTCCTGACCCCCAAATCACTGATGTGTATTCTCAGATGTCAATGCAGTTTAAGGGTTTTTATTCGGGAATTCCCTTGCATTTTAAATTAACATTTTCACTCATGAACACTACATAAGAAACCCAAAGAGACTGCTACTCATGGTACTTGTAATCACTTGAACGTGGTTAGTATCTTTTAACTTTTAGGGACAGATTCACCAGTGTATGCTAGCTGTTCTGTACTATTCTGAACGAGTGCTAAGCAGCCAAAGCATACAGGCCAACTAAGCTGGGTTTACGGGTGTTCTGTATCAGCAGAGGAACACATCAGAGGGCAGAATGCACTCCTCGGTTTCCCCTTCCCTCCTGCCTTCTCTGTTGAATAGACCTAGTGCAACAGGTAGATTTTTTTAGGATGAAAAATAAATTTCATAGCATTATTTTTGATCATTGAAAATTTCTCCTTCAACACAGGCTGGCATATAAAATCTTCTATTTCAGAAGCACTCATGAAGAGCTGTCCTATTTCAAAACAGCCTCCATTACACATCATTCTCAATGGGACTGAGGTCACAGCCTGCCCTTAACAAAAATAGCTACTGCCTCCCATTGTTCACAATGGAAACAAAGTCAAACTGCCCTCAGGGAAGACTGCTGGCCCCTATGCTACCAGGAGGTAGAGAGGAGCAGGTGAATGGAAGCAGTGGCAACCTTTGCTAATGACAACTTGTGCCATCAGTTTCTTTGAGAATAATACAAAATGACAACCCTTTTGAAAGAGGGCAATTCTTTGAGTGTTTCTCTGAACAAAAAATGGTTACCTATCTTTCTTTTCATAACTGTTGTTCTTCGCGATCTGTTGCTCAAGTCCATTCCATTTTAGATGTGTGTGCACCCACGTGCACAGTTGTCAGAGATTTCTGCCTTAGTGGTATCTGAAGGGCCGGTTGTGGCACCCTCTGGAGTGGCACTCCCATGCAGCAGTATACCAGGCGCCGCCGGCCCTGCGCCCTCTCAGTTCCTTCTTGCCAACAACTCCAACAGAGGGACAGGAGGGCAGGAAATGGAATGGACATGAGCAACACATCTTGAAGAACAACAGTTATGAAAAGGTAGGTAACCATTTTTTCTTCTTCGAGTGCTTGCTCATGTCGATTCTATTTTAGGTGACTCACAAGCAGTATCCACGGAGGTGGGCTCGGAGTTCACAGCTTAGCGGCTTGCAGCACTGCCCTACCGAAGCCAGCATCGTCCCAGACCTGCTGAGTCAGGGCATAGCGGGATGTAAAAGTGTGGACAGATGACCAGGTGGCCACTCTACAGATGTCCTGGATAGGCATATGGGCCAGAAAGGCTACCACAGAGGCCTGTGCGGTACAGTGACAATTGCTGGGAGTGGCACCTACGCTTGGTCGTAGCAGAAGCAAATGCAGGCAGTGATCTAAGAAGTAATTCTTTGAAAGGTAGTCCAGTATCCACTCATTCTGTTGGCTACAGCGACAAATAATTGCGTCGACTTATGGAACGGCTTGGTCCTGTCAATGTAGAAGGCCAGTATTCCTGTATTTGGAACCTCCCCCCACGAAGTCTCAGGTAAGCAGCCACTGGCACTATATGCTTTCTTTGAGGTCGGCAGAATAGATGAGGACGTTTGCCACACCGATTTGACTATTTCGAGCACCCCGGGTAGACGGGCAATACAATCTTTGCCAGTGTGGTGGCTGAGATGACATTGAAGAGGTCGTCTGCCATCTCAGCGACCTCCTCAATTTGCAGGCCAAGATTTCCAGCCACCCATTTAAGGAGGGCCTGATGCTCCTTAAAGTCGTCCAGAGGACTGCGATGTGGGATGGTCTGGCCACCTCCTCGACGATGATTATGTCACCTGATGGGTGGTGTCATCCTCTCCTTGGCAGGGGAGGGCTCCCTTAACGCCAGTGTATGGTGCGTGGGCTCTGCTTCCACCATAGTACCGTGTTCCGATTGCAGCATCAGCAGTGCATCTGCTGGTTTGTCCGATGCGGCCATGGAGGGCTGGGAGTACTGGACCGGCATTACCGGCACACCCCGCCACGGGTCCCAGTATGATTCCTGGGGGGGCCACGGCCCCTGCTGCGTCAGCACCATGGCCAGAGCCGCCTCCATCTCCCACATCACAGGGGAGTCACGCCGCCTCTGCGACAGGCTAAAATCACAGTCCGACCCTGACCATGTCCCTCCGGTGACCACAGCGGGGCCATTGAGGTCTGGGTCTGCCTATTGACCCTGGAAGGCGATCGACGGGGGGACAGGTACCAGGGCGAGCACGAACAACGCCGAAATCCTGAACGAGCCCTCCAGGACAGAGACCAACGACGACGAGATCTTCTGGGAGACGGTATTCAGCGTCTAGGCAACCTATGGCCAGACGGTAATTGGTACTGGCGGTACGGGGAGCAGCACCACGAGTCTGGAGTCCCTCACCTAGTAGGAGGGGATCTTGACGGAGATCTAGGCCTTCTGGCCAGCGAGCCAGACTGCAGTGTTGGGTCCCGAGGTCGCAGGAACAGGGACTTGTGCTTGCGATCCGGTGACCTGGGATGTCCCGCCAGTCTACACGGCAGCACCCTGGTGGCTTTCCCCTTCGGTGATGCGACCAGAGCTGCATCGGTCACCTGGCGTGGCACCTGCAGAGCTGGTCGGCCTTGCTCCTTAGCCACCGGGACCACTTTGGGCACTGAAGGCCCATCACTGGCTGGGAACTCCTGCCGGTGCCCTACTAAAACCAGTCAATGGATAACCGCTGCTGCCCTTGCAAAGCAAGACAAGGGGCTCCAACCATCCGTCACAGGTGGTAAGAAGGAACTGAGAGGGCACAAGGCCGGCAGCGCCTGATATACCACCGCATGGGAGTGCCACTCCAGGGCACAGCCAGCCCTAGAGATACCGCTAAGGCAGAAATCTCTGACAACTGTGCATGTGGGCGTGCACACACCTAAAATGGAATCGACTTGAGCAAGCATTCAAAGAATAATACTCTTTAGCTTCTGCTAAAAGGAGAAATTTTCATTTATGAAGAATAATGGGAAAAGTGACCATTAATTGTAAGTATTTCTTTTCAAGAACTACCCAGCGCACTAAACCTACTTAATATTTACCTCCCTACCAATTTGTGTGTAGTTTGTGTAAATGCCTGAGACTAAATCATTCAGGACAAAATATGATCTGACACAGGGTGCTGGACTGGTTAAAGGACCCATTAGTAAATTAATTTTAACTTACAATCAATTGGTTTATTTACTTGTTAATTCTTAGAAAATTCATTCTATACTCAAAGAGCACATGCTGTCATTCTGGGGAGCAGAGTGCATTCTTCATAACCAACAAAGAAGTTGAATCCCTGCTTTATAGACAAAACACTCAAACTTTAATTATGGAGCCACAACCATTACCTCTATAATAAAAATAAATTTGTAGGACATTCCCCAATGGGTAATATTTTGAAGTATCAGACTGGGAATCTTAAATCGGTCATGTTGATATAAATTATATATTTAATGAACAAATCTATGAACCTGGAGACCAACAGAAGCTTTCACTTATCTTGATGTCTGAAGCCAACATGATTAGAGATATACAATTAAGTTTTGTCTCATGTAGACCTTAATGGTAACTCCTGAAACATTCTTGTATAACTATAGAATAATCGTCCTACACTTATACAGCACCTTTCATACCAATGAATCAAAGCAATCTCTAACACCTCTATACATGGATCACTTCAATAACCATTGAAATGCAGCCACTTTGGGGATGAAGCATCTCAACATTATGCACCAGTTTAGGTCTAGTAGCGAAGACCACCATCTACAACTGAAATTGCAGGATGAATTTAGACAGAAAGAATGTAATGACCCAAATTTAAATGTAGCCAGGACCTAGTCATTACCTCTTAGAAAGATCGCTATTAGTCCCTAATAGTCAAGATCTTGATTTTATGTCTCATCTGTAAGTCAACACCTCCAACAGAACAGTAATCCTCCCCTAACAACATGCTAAAGAATGGGTTCAGTACCATTGATCCACAGCCCTTTATGGAAACATCAACACTACTTCATGCAGAATCTAAGTGTTCATTAGTGGACTCTCTTCCAAAAACTTTTAAAAGCAACACAGCATAACCCTGCTTTGATTGCAAGATCACATTTCAAAGCTATATTCTCACAAAAGTTAATTGTGACTGGCGCATTTAAAAGAGGTTTTTTTACCTTTTGAGAAGACTCCAGTTGTAGTTCCAGGTCATGTGCTTTTTGATGCATTATCTGCAATTGAGTACTTTGTTCCTTGAGTCTGTTCTGAAAAACAGCCATCTGCTCCTGGGCTTGAGATAATTCACTTTTTCCAGGAATTCTACTTTTCAGAAGCTCATTAGCCTAAATGCACAAATATTTTTTTTATAGTGAGGGTAAGGAAAACTTACTTACATGTACAGTAACACGAGTTCTTCAAGAAGTGTTATTCCAATGCATAGTCTACTCTAGGAGTGCATGCACCCCATGGCCAGAGATTGGAGTTGGGTTTTTTTTTTTTGCTAGTGGTGTCTGTTCCAGGTTGGATAAAAATCATGGATTTAAAAAAAAACAAAAACTGATTTTTTTATAAAATAGGTTTTTTTCCTCAAAAAGCATCTAAAGATAGTTTTAATTAAGATACATTATAGCTCAAAGATATATCATTATGGAATAGAGATTATAAATTCTAATTCTATAGTATGAGACAATATATTCATGTAATGTTTAAGAAAAATTTTGGAAACGAGTTCCAATAGTTCACGGATTAGGGACCCAATGTTATGAGGTTCCAGGGGCTTCTGTATAGATTATTTAGGTTAATCTTTCCATATATCCAATTGGATTCAGTGCTCAGTCTAGAAGATACCATCAGAGATGCTTAGTTTTGCACTTCTCAAACTGTGGATTTGTGTCTCCAGAGATAACATGCTTGTTAACAGCAAAAATATTTTTAAA